ATTTCAGCAGCTTGTACCCGGGTTCGAGTCTTTTCAGTTATGGTCCACGACTCATAAGCATGGCGATAAAGATCGACTTGAATATCGAGAGCTTAGTTTTAAGAGTGAGCTCTGCTTTAATCACAATGAATCGGATTAATTCACGCAGAATGACACTGGCTACTGCAGTTCACCGGTAAATCGTTTGCTCAAATTTTACATCACTAGTGAACACGACTCCGAGGTAACTGAAATTTTCCACCTGCTCCAGTGGCTCTCCGTTAATCTTAAAATAGCAATGGGCAGGAGAACGAGAAAGCACTAAGCTTTACACATATGCCAGTCACGTCGCACTCGGTTGCGGATCTTTCTAGGGAGCATTGTAGATCAGTTTCAGCAGATGCCAATAAAACAAGGTCGACTGCAAACAGTAAGCTTCTCGTTTTCATATCTCCTACACCGATACAGCCTTGCCTACTCCTGAATACTCTGTCCACGTACAAAATAAACAGGAGGGGACAGAACGCAGCCTCAGCAGAGACCAGTGATAACGCGGAAAGGTTTCGACTTAACGCCATTTACTCTCACGCAGCACTTGCTATCCGAATAGAGTGACTGGACGGTCCTAAGCAATTGGCCATCTATCCCGTTGCGGCGGATAGATCATAGGCTTTCTCTAGGTATAATGGAGCATGTAAATCTGATGAGCAAACTCCCACGATTTCTCTACAATCAGGCGTAAGATGTATATTTGGTTAGAGCTGCTTCAGTCAGATCTGAAGCCAGCTGCTCTTCTTATATTTTGGAGTAATTTATTCCGCGGCACCTCCTTTCTAGCACCTTTGCGTAGACTTTACTCGGGAGGCTCAATAAAGTAGTTCTGTGAAAAATGAAGCACTTTCCATGGACTCCCTTTTTGAACGGGAATGCTACAATCCCCGTTTTCTAGTTCGCTGGTTTGTCCCTTCAGTTTGGAGATGTGTGCTAGCCACAATATACCTTGTCTGTCAGATGCTTTAAACATCTCAGGGGGGGGGGTCATCGATTTCATTAGCCTTGCCACTTTTAAAGGCTTAAAGAGCTTCTCTGACTTCATCTGTTCAAAGATTGATGTCTTTTTCCCTGTACTTCAGCAAAATCTTGCCGAGGTTGCTCAAGAGTTAAGGAGTGCCTCAAAATACACTGTCCATTGTCGAAATGTGTCTTCGCACTCGGT